AAAAAAAAAAAGTATAATTTTGCAGGTTTTGGCTCCACACCCATAGTTAAGAGGTTAGGGTGCCAGCCACATCCACTGGGGCTGGTGGGTTCCAACCCGGCCAGGGCCTGCTGAACGACGACAACTACAACAGAAAAATTGCCAGGCGCTGTGGCAGACATCTGTAGTCTCAGCTACTTGGGAGGCTGAGTCAAGAGAATTGCTTACGCCCAAGAGTTTGAGGTTGCTGTGAGCTGTGACGCCTCAGCACTCTAGGGAGGGCAACATAGTTGAGACTCTGTCTCAAAATAAATAAAATAAAATAATTTTTTGTTTTCAAAGAGTAGGTACAAAAGGGACTTTCAGTCCAACCGTATTTCAAAAGCTTATTTAGGTTTAGATTTGTTTGTATTTTAATGAGCAGGTGTCAATTTTGTAATAAATAATGATCAAGGTTCTTATTTTGATCTATCCCAGGGATATGAAAAGCAAAAAGGTGTTCCCAGCAAGACTGCAGAGTAGCGAGTTAGGTCTATTAAGGGTAAAAGGGGTGGGGGTGGCGGATCCCCCAAATCAGGGGGACAAAACTGTAGCTGTGGAGCTGAGGAACATCCAGCGCCCGAGCAGTTACCAGATGTTGCAGGCAGGACCTCCTTTTGGGCTGAGTGAAGAGCCTTGAAGGTTTGGTACGTTCTACTGAAGAGAAAACAAAGGGGTCGGAGGCACAAGGCCTGGAGAGGGCGCGGGAGGCCGTGAGCCGCTGTAGAGCCGGCTTAGCACACTTGGGTGCTGAACCGCCCCCGCCGCGGGTGAGGGAGGCGAGGAGGCCACACCTGGAGTGGGAGAGGGGCAGGGCTAACGCGCTCCGTGACCGCGGGCTTCAGTCGCCCCCGCACACGATAACATACCTTGCTCCACAACCTCTCGTGGTCCGCGCTGAAAACCTCTCCACCCTACGCACAATCCCGTTGAAACGCCTCGCAACCCTCACTAGCCTCACTCACCTGCAGCTTCAGATCCGGCTCGCACACCTACACCATCTCCCGCTAAAGAGCTGGAACCTGTGCGACCGTCTGTGCGAACCCACCCGGATCCACTAGGGCTGTAACCACTTCCAGAGGAAGTAGCCCCCGGGCTGTGCGAACCGAGCGACGCCATCTTGTACGGAAGCCGCGGGAGCGGCTATTGCCTTTCCAGCGATGCAGAGCAAAGTATATGTGGAGAGACTTAAATCTGGAAAGGCTTAATTAACCTTTAATATCTCGTCAGAAAAGTAGCGCTTCGCCTTCTGGGATCTTTTTTCGTACGGACACTCGCTATGTTGACCATGCGGCTCTCGAACACCTGAACCCAAGTGCTCCTCCTGCCAACTTGGCTTCCCAAAGTACAGTGATTATAAGCGTGAGCCACCGCGCCTGGCCGGTTTTGCTTTTGGTTTTGGAGGCAGAGCTTCTACAGTCTTAATAAATGCAATGTAGAAAATCTAATGTTTCTTATTATCCTGAGTAGTGTTTCTCTACTACATTAATTTTCTTAAGTGCGGGATGATGACGGTAAATCGGAGGAGAAACTGTTTAAATAACGTATTCGCAGTGCATACTGTCCTATAGCCAGTATAATTTGCATCATCTTTTGCCACAGTACTTTCCATTTATATAGTAAGTTGTTCATTCAATCAGCCCTTATTAGCAGCTATCATATGTAAGGCAGCTAATACATGCTATATACTGGTCTTTTGTCATGGAATGTCTAAAACAAAAGGGAAAATAAGATATGCCTGAATAACCCATGTAAAATATAATAGCCGCTTGTTGACTATGCTCACTGTGTGCTAGGAACTTTGCACGCAAAGTGTTTTACTTATTTTGTCTCATTTAATCCTGGTAACAATGCCATGAGGTGGTCCTATTATTAGTGCCCTTTTACATAAAACAGAGAAAGGTTAAAAAATTTTTTAAGGTAATTCAGTAAGTAAGCATTGGAGCTAGGAATGAAACTTCAGTATATCTTGATTACAAAGTTTGTTGCCCTCATTTAATATTATTATATTGCTTCTAATCCAAGGGGAAAGGTTCTGCGTTTCATTAGATAAGTACCCACAAGGGAAGTTTCCAGCTAATATAGACGATTAGACCCCCCGCCCATTTTTATTATCTGCTTTTTCTTGAAACTCCTAAAAAAAAAAAAAAATGATAGAGTGAACACCATAGTTCAGTGGGTAGGGTGCCGGCCACATGCATCAGGGCTGGTAGGTTAGAACCCAGCCCCAACCTGCTAAAAACAAAAAAATAGCTGGGAATTATGATGGGCACCTGTAGTCCCAGCTACTTGGGAGGCTGAAGCAAGAGAATTGCTTAAACTCAAGAGTTTGAGGTTGCTGTGAGCTGTGACGTCATGGCACTCTACCAAGGGCAACATAATGAAACTGTCTCGATTAAAAAAAAATGATAAAGAGGAAATGCATATTAAAACCACAGTGAGATACCGTCATATACCTACCAGAATATAGCTAAAATGAAAAAGACAGAAAATATCAAGTATTAGTAAGATTATGGAGCAACCATAACTCTGTATACTCCTGAAGGGAACATAAATTGATACAATCACTTTTTAAAACTTTTTGGCAGCATCACCTAAAGCAGACTATATGAAAAGCTTTTGTCCTGACAATTTGACTCCTAGTCTGCATGAAACTGCCCTTACAAATTGATGAAGGGGTAGAAGGTAAGGGCTCCCAAAGTTCTGTGAAGGAACACAGCCACTGTTCCTTCCTTTGCGTGATAATGGTCACTGTCCCCTTGTTTGCTTCTCTATAGTTACTACTCTAGAGGGGACAGGTGGTCGTTATAAAAATATTTAATTTTTCTCCATAAATAACATTATCAGTTCAGAATCCAGGGGCAGTTTTTGAGGTATCTTCCACTTCTTGCATTCCAGCAGGTTGGCTGACCTACCCAGTGCCCCAAAGGACCTGTGATTCTGCCCTAAAACCAGCCAATTAGACCATGATTGCCTAATCCTCTGCCCACCAAACTCTCTTTTTTTTTTTTTTTTT